TGCTGTAGCTGAACCCAGGACACAGAGCCATTTATTTATTTTAACTTGTCTAATCATGATATGTAGGAATATGTAGAATTAAATTTCAGTGCTTATTGTTAATATTTGCTTAACCAAAAATGTTTTAAATCAAACACTTCACAGGCTAACGAAGTATTAGAATACAGTTTTAAAAAGTCATTTTGTGGCAGACAGTTTTCTTCTATTTTCAGCACAATTATTGCTAAAAGAAGAGTGAAACTTTGGTTTGTGTGTTGCAACATTGTGTGGTAAAGAAATTATATTCGGAAGTTAAGTCTCACCTCCTTCAACTCCTGTTCAGCTTGGGGTAATTTTACACTTATCTCTTTGATAGCAGCTTTCCTTTCCTTAAGAGTTTCTGAAACAGTCATCAGAGCCTCCTTTGCCTGATTTAACTGAGACACAGCAGTATTATGACGGGCAAGATAGATCTCAAGCTCTGACTGGGCAACATCCCTCTTTGAACGGGCTTCATTCACTGTTTTAATAAACTCCATAAGCTCCTCCTCTTTGCTCTGCAAAAGTGGACAATGTTACAACTAAAATCATATGACTGTGGGATTTATTACATCAATTAAACTGTATGAAACAAAGAGAGGAAATGGGTGTGTTCTTTTACAAGCTCTTCTGTCAGCAGAAAAGAGTTATGTTATCTAGAAGAACAAGTATTTCTTTATTTATTAATGTATTCTGTATGGAAATTAAATAAGGCATTTCCCATAAAGAACACCAGGGAATTGTCATGGAACATTTCCATACAAACTCTGTATCATTTTCTCAATTTAAAGTTGAAATGAGCCCTACACATTGTGCTAAATTACAGATCAAATGGGGAAAAATTCTTCAGAGGGTGCTGAGGCACTGGCACAGGTTGCCCAGAGAAGCTGCGGCTGCCCCCCATCCCTGGCAGCGTTCAAGGCCAGGGTGGACAGGGCTTGGAGCAACCTGGTCTAGAGCTCCACATATCATTGGAGGTAGCCGATATTTAAGCTCCCTTCCAACCCAAACCATTCTATGATTCTGTGAAACCACGTTTTCAACTACAGAAAACAATCCTCCAAATTTACAGGATAAATTTCCAGCCTCCAGCTGTTCAGTGATTGAACAGCTACTATCAACAACAATGACCAAGTGTTATAGTAGCTGTCCATTAATTCAAAGACAGATTCCAGCTGTGTGAGAGGCTCAGAACACACAATTTCAAAATCTGTTCATTTATTTAACACATTGGTTTAAACGTTTTAATGGGAGAAAATTAAGGTGTGTTCAGATAATAGAAATGTAGAACTATTTAATATACATACACAAATAACACACTTGATGACACATGATCCCTATGGAAAGCAGACAACTTAATGAGAATGATGTAGCTCTGATTACAAATTCAAAATTGATTTCCCAGTAAGGCTCCACTGAACTAAGACATGAAACAGCAGACCTGTCATATAAAAAAGCATTTTACAACTATCTTGCTATCATTTCATTCATGTGTAAAAGCTATGCATCAGCTAAGACAGCAAGTGCACTAAGGAAAACAATTCAAACCTCTTTTTCTGTCTGAAGTCCTTGTGTTTCTTGCTTAAGACTATCTATAACCTGCTTGAGTTTTAATTCTTCTTCCTCTTTTGTTTTTTCAAGAAGCTCTTTCTTAGATGTTGTTTCACTGATAGATTTTTCACTATCAGCAGGCACTTTTTTCAATTCTGCTACCTATGCAAAGGAAGACATCCAGAGACATAAGCCATAGCAAGGCATAGCAGTGAAAGAACACATTTTAAAAGAAGCTTTACACAGAAGAACTGAATTCACAGTATCACAGTAGGGCTTAATTCCTAAATATCTACTTTCAGAAGGCCACTCTTAATCCAAGGAGCGATTTAAGATCTGTAACAGCTGGCAACAAGCAAGTTGGTAAAACCTATCTGTTAAATTAACTAAATTAACTAGGGATGCAGGGGGGAAAAAAAAAAGTTTGCGAAGGTAGTTACTGCGAGAATAGGCAAATTTCTGTAATCTGAGCAAACAGGATAAAAAGATGCTTTGTATGACATGAGAAGTCTCAAGTGAGCCGAGAAGCCACAGAAAGCTTTTGAGTTTAGGCAGATAACAGCCTGGTACCACTGGACCCCATCTCCCATAGATGTGCAATTAGCAATGGCTTAAGGGAGGATAATGTATTACTTCAGTGTTGCAAACAAAATTCCTAGCTGATTTAAATGACAAAGTTATCTGACTGAAAAAAGTAAATGAAAACATATTTTTCCATCTTCTTTGTTGAACAAAATGCAACTGGTGTCCTCTGCTATTTTCTCCCAGCTGCACAAAGATGTTCTCATCTAGAACAGCCAATTACATTTCTTTAGATAAATCAAGCTGCAGTTCACACTACCTTTTCTTTCTCCTTCTGAATTTGCTTCTCCAATTTTTTAGCCTCGCTCTTGGCATGTTTTAGATTTTCCCTTACTTTAACATCCTGTAAATCCAACTGAGTAAATTCTTCTTTTTTTTCCTCAACAAACTTTGTTATTTTACCGGATTTCCTGAAGGGGAAAAATAAAAAGAATCATCTATTCCATAACCTATAAAAATGTCAGTTAAGCTTGGCTTAGTAAGCAAGCATATAGAATTTAAACCAATATTATTCAATTTTTGTAAAAAAACCAATATACTTACTATATTCACACTATTTTCCCCAGGGAAGTGATGTTTCATCAGAAAAAGATTAACTAACAATGCAATATTAAATCCATTTTCAGAAATTTTATTTTTTCCTTGGTAGAATTTATAATTCACCTCTCACAAATAACTTACCATGATCTTAGAGGATCAGAAGATCAATATTGCAGTTGGACTGGAAATTAGGACCCAGACAAATAAATTTTAGGGAAACACAACTGAGGCATAAGAGATTCATAAGGAAACCAGATAAAAATACCTAACGTCTGTGGGCCTAAATACTATGGTGGTATATTTAAAAAGCTAAAACAATATTTCATTGTTTTGTACAGTCAATATATAAAAGTATGTACTTTTAAAACCTATTTAAAAATCATTTTCTTATTGTATTACTCAGACTTCTGCAAAAGAAGCAACCTGCAAAACCTGCAAGCCAATGAGATTTTTTTATTTATTTGTTTTCGTGCAAGAGATCATTTAATCCATGCAAGGGAACGTTTAGATATACAGTAAGTGACTCTTCATCAGATAATTGAAATTTTTGGTGGAAGAACTACTGAAAACCCAGTTGTGCTCTGAGTTTGATCACCTTCCCATACAACTACCGTATACTTCTGCTTTCTCATGTGTTCCAACCCCTGCAATAACACTGATGCATCTTTTCCTAAAAATCCTGAAAACTCTAACACCACATATGCAGAATGTGTAAAAGACAGTACTCTCATCTTATAAATCTATACCTGAAGTACATACTTTTCAAGTTCTTTCAAACTTTTAGTCTTGGTTTTTATTTCATCTCCAAGTTTCTTGCTCTTCTCATTAACATCTTTTGTTGCTTCATTAATTTTTTCTTTCTGCATTTCCGTATCATGAAGTCGTTTCTTTAGATCATGACTAGGAAAAAAGCAAACAAAAAATCCAACCACAAAACCCAAACCTCCACTTTTGTTCCATAAAGCTGACATTAATAATGGATATATATTTCCAATCTTAAGTGTAAACAAAGTGATTACGTAAAGAATTAAACCTTAATGCTGTTACTCAGTAACCTTGACGATTTAACACAAACCAGCAAGGAAATCTAACAATTCAGACACTTCAGATTAAAACAGTCCTTAAATAATCAACTTTCTCAATTCAAGTATAAAGCTGTAATAGATTAATTTGCCAGACTACCTTACTTTGTTAAAAGCTGGCAAGCACTGGGGCTTTTGTTTTGTTTCGTTGTTTGGGGTTTTTTTGTGGTGGCGTTTTGTTTTTTTTAAAGAAAGGTTTTTGTGAAAATGGTATCTACTTTAAATTTAACTTCAAAATTTGAAACAAGAATCACTAGCCACACGTTATTCAACTAATTCTGAAGTACTGATACATCTGTTAAGAAATACAAAATATTTCTACTTAGAGATAAAGAAGCAGAGTTTAAGACTACCGTTACCACAATAAAGCCAAATCAAAACTTTAGAGAATTACTTACATATAGTATTGACAGAGCCGATTCTTTTCTTTAAACATTTTGTTTTCCAAACAAAGAAATTCAATAGCTTTATTCCTGTCTGCTTCCAAGGCATCCTTTTCTTTTTCCACCATTTTAACTCTGTTTAACTAGACATAACAGAGAGTTAGAGCTGACTTTACTGCTACTACTACAGAAGAACAAACCCTGAGGAGAAAAACCCCAGATCCTTTGTAGCACATGTCCTCTGGAGATGTGGTTCAACAATTAACTCTGCAAGACAGTTTAGCACTACAAGCTTCCTGAAATCACATATCACAACTTCCACAGCAGAGACTGCCCTTTTAGAGCAATTCAGTCAGGTATTTAAAACCAATAAAGGGATCCCACAGATGCTAGAAACAGCTCAGGCAAGCCAAGAAAAACACAGGTGAGAGAGAGGAGGTACATACAGAAAATAACATATATGGACTGTCTATATTTCAATCTTTTGACTAGCCCCTTTTAAGTTAATTCCTGCACTTAAATGCCTTTTCCTTCTCAGCCTTTTTAAAAAAAAAAAAAAAAAAAAAAAAAAATTCAACATACTAGGATTTACCAAGGACACACCAAGTAAGAACTTTACTATTATTCAGCACTTTTAGAATTCAATGCATAATGTTATGGAAGCAAGTTCTGCAACAGATCTACATAGCTCAAATCACAACTAATGTTCTGTGCCTTCTCATACAGCTGTCTGTGCATCACCTCACCACTGCTCTGCCTCCTCTTCCTCTCTCCTTTTCTTAGCGTATGGAAGGTTTTCCTGCTACTTCTACTTGCAATTCAGCAATAGGAATCAGGCCGAAAAAAACTCCCTATCTTGATATATTCAGATAATTACAATCTCTTTCTCTTGTTAAATCTCAGCAGAATTTAATGCATGCAGATTATGATCAAAGAGTGTTCAGCAG